GAGAACAAACGTATTCACGTGACTTTAATAACATTTATTACTTAATGGAAACACCACAGTTTCGAAACTGTGTTTTTTGACATAAACAGAATATCGACAAAGTTTTGCACATTTGTAATGGAAACACAGCTACAGATTAAACCAAGTTTTTATACTTTCAAAATAAGACTGACCTGTACCTTGTATACCTTTGGTAGCTTCTCCACCTCGTTGCCCTCGGTCATGTCGTAGCCCGTCTTCTTTTCTTTACCGACAACCTCGTAGGACTTGTAGGAAACGGGAACCTTGTGATAGGACTTCTCTTCCACATACATGACAGACTTGTAGTCGCCAGGGTATCCTCCCAAACTGTCGCCGCGGCCTGCGTCCGTGTCGGTGACGATGGTCGGTAAGATGGGCTCCATGGTGGTTTCAGGCAGGGGCTCCTCGGTGACGATGGCGGGGCTGAGGGTGCCTGGAGCCGGGGTGGAGGACTCGCCCGACTCGGAGTCTGAGTCGGTGGATTCGTCTTCCTCATCCTCTTTTTCCTGCATAGATATTAAAACATTGGGTTTTCAGTGTAGAAAGAACCGGTTTTCTATTAAAATGCTAACTTTATCAGGAGCAAAAACAGGAGTGTTAAAATTCCAGTGTTAAACTTTTGGGTGTTGTTTTAACATCCCCTGGTGTTATTTTAACACTTTCTGAGTAAACTGACACCCAGCGTTGGTGTTCATTCACAGTGTTGATTTCCTCAATGTTGTTTCAACACTGGACAGTGTTAAATAAGCTCCGCCCACTATTAAATCTTATATAACACTTAACAGTGTTGTTATATGACACCATGCAGTGTTGAAAGAAGTATTGTGAAAAGCCCCGCCCTCTTCCACCTCATGTCAGACAGACCATGTGTTTTCACATCAAGGAATGCTGGATAATCTTGTAGAAATTATGTTTTTGTTTGTTTATGACTATTAAAGAAGTTCATGAGAGTAAAAATGAGTTATTCTGGTTAGTTTTCTTGTTCAGTTTGATCAAGTTGTTCAAGTTTAAGTTTGTGTTATTGTCCATAAATCGACACCATGAGTGAGAGGTACTTCCTGGTGTGTTAAGGGTGACTCCATTATACAATACTACAAAGACCTTGATTTTAACTTTGTGTTAAATTTATACTCTCAGCTGGATGGTGTATTGATACCAGAGATGGGGTAAATGGCTCTTTGAAGGGATCCGGATCTTGGGGATCTGTTTGTTTCATAGAGCCGTTCAAAAGAGCCGTTCGATTTTGAACGTATTACGTCATCACGTAGAGAATTGCGTCATCACGTAGCCGTATGTAATGACGTAATCCCGTCACATGGGTTGTACCATGTTTGTCAAGCGGAAATCCCCTCTCCCCCTTTCACCRTGAGCTTCTGTACCTTACAGCTCCGCCTGTTTTCCATGAAAAAGCAAAGCGGGATCGATTTAAGTATGAAAAAGTAAAGATTATACTAGGGGTGTAAGAAAATATCGATACACTGAAATATCGCGATATTTCATTTCCTGATACTGTATCGATATTCTAAAGCCCTGTATCGATTTTTTTTTAAAGGTTTAAAATGTCAACTTTCCTGCCAGCCGTTCATTTTTATGTTGTAGTTCAGCCTCTGACCACTAGTTGGCAGCAGTGAGCCAGACATTTGGCTCCTCTACCTCTTGAGCGCCAGAGAGTAAGGGTAGCATTAGCATTGTAAGTAAACATTAGCTTCATGCTCCGATAGCTGAATCTGAGCRGAAAAGACCGACACCCTCTGSCTTCTAAGCTGAGGTAAGGTTACAAACAGTTACTTATTTATCAGAATGTCTGGATTTTAAGACAAATTAAGTGTTTTGTGCTCTAATTTTTCCAACTGTAGTCAGCTTTCACGTTACGCATTTAGCGCATGCTTCTATCACCTGGAGCGAGCTCGGTACTCCCCCCATGACATAAAACTGTCTGTTGATCTCAGTGTCCGGCTGATGATCACATCAAAGTCCAAATACTTTATCCTGCTGTGTTCGCTTCAAAAACGGTTTAACTCGTTTAGCTTCTCAATCTCTTTACTGGTTTTCTTCAGGACCTGCCCTGCTGTTCGACCCACAGTTATGTAAATCATGTTGTGTGCAGCAGCTTCATATCATCTGTTTACTGAACTTTATGACAACATAAAGGCTATTGTTAAGTGTTGGGTGACCATATTGCAAATTAACATTAAAAACTAAAAGCTGCAAAAAATATATTTTCAAACTATTTATTGGCAAATTTAGTCTAATAATTGAAAACATGGATGAAATATGAAACAAATAAAATAAAACACATACAAAGCAGAACACAGCTAAATGTATCAAAAGTAACACATACAAAGCAGAACACAGCTAAATGTATCAAAAGTATGTCTGTAATATTAGAATTTTCTGAGACAATGAATTTTGGTTTTTCGTAATTTTTTTCCAGTAAGAGGTTTTTATTTAATAGAATTTTTGGACCAAAAATATCGCAATAAATCGGGATATATCGTATCGTGACCCCTCTGTCATGATATGTATCGTATCGCCAAATTCTTGCCAATACACAGACCTAGATTATACGAGGAATAAAAGAAATAAAACTACAAATGGCTCGTTACTGCCCGCGATCCGGCTCCTATCGTTCGTTGTAAAGAGCCGTTCAAAAGATTCGGATCGTTCAACAACGTCACATCTCTAATCGACACCTTGTGGCATTTTTTAACCTTTTTAACACCATAATTTCCTTTGTTAATAATAATAATAATGCACTGGTGTTACTTTTAACACTATATTTTAACACTGTTGAAATGTAAATATCACACCCAGGATTGTTGAATATTAAACACTGGCTGGTGTTAAATTAACACTGTGGGTGTTAAATTAACACTGGATGTTAAATTAACACTGTGGGTGTTAAATTAACACTGTGGGTGTTAAATTAACACTGGATGTTAAATTAACACTGGATGTTAAATTAACACTGGATGTTAAATTAACACTGTGGGTGTTAAATTAACACTGGATGTTAAATTAACACTGGCATTTGGTTTCTTACTCACACTCACCTCTCCTTCATGATCATCATCATCGTCGTCTTCACCTTCGCTGTCCTCGTTGTTGACAGGAGGAGCCTCAGTAGGTGGGTTCGGGTCTGCGTTGACAGCTTTGAACTTTACCAGCTCTTTAACTGGTTCCACTCCCTGCACAAACCAAAACCAGGAACAGTTGAAGAGCCTTCCTCAGAGTTCCCACCTGAAGATGTTACCTGGATCTGAGGGTCTCACCTGGTTTTCCTCTGAAGTCTCTGTGCTCTCGTCTGATCCCGCTGCAGGAGCCGCTACGACTTTCTGTACCTTCTGAAGCAGAACGTCAGATTGAAGTTATGTTGTACGAGGAAAGGTTGTAAAAATCAAACACAAAGTGGAAATAAAAGGATGTTTGACCTTCACAGGGGCTGGTCGATGCTTTGGAGCCACTAGCGTCTGTTTCCTGACAGCTGGAGCTGCTGGTCGTCTCACCTGCAGATCAAACAAACACCTTAGACGTCCTTGTCTTTCAAACCCCACCTCCATCCCATAATGCTCTGGGTAAACTCACCACTTCCTCAGAGCTGTCAGAACCACTGTCCGAAATTTTCTTCGCCTAAAATAAGACAGATTCCAGAAACAAAGAGAATTTGCATAAAACCTAAGAAAATTAAAGCAGCACTCCCTGAAGGAAGGCATATGGCCTGTCACTTTGGACACCAACGTTTCACAAAAAAATCTCAGATAATTTGTTGGAGCATGAGTTGAGTATGACTCTCATCTACTACCACATTAACTTTTAGCTCAGTTTCTGCAAAATTAGTGGGATTATAGTCCCTTTGTGTTTGCTAAGCTAGCCTTGGCCAACATCTTGAATCAAGTTTCCTCCAAACGATGGCAGTGTCTCAGTTCATGGGGCAAATTTGCCAGCTGCTTACATCACTGCCCTGCGCCGCAGGCAGTCACAGTTCCTGGGCGTGTACTCATGTGGCCGACAAAACCCCGTAAACATCAGGTATGAGTTTATTACACGGCTGAAGGTGTTCAAGAATTCATTGCGCGGTCAGCAAATTAAACAGAAAAACGATGGCTGAGTATTTTACTTTACGGCTGACTGTTAAAATATTTTTATACAGTGGAGTTTTTAAATTTATCAGACCAAAAAATTTAACTTTAGCAACTCAGCTGAAGAAAGCACGATGGCTCAGTGGTTAGCACCAAGGCCTCACAGCAAGAAGGGCTTGATCCCCAGTTTGGACCTGGGGTCTTTCTGTGCGGACCCCGTTAAACAGAGGTGGAGGCCTTCATGTCCAGTTGTCCCCCTCCAACAATGCTGCTATTGCAAGTATGACTCCGCCCTCTGTGAGCAAAAGGTGTGAATCAGGACCCCAACCATAGTCAGGTGATGGGGCACATGACCCTCTATGAACAATAGAGCTAATCAAGGCACTAACGATCTGTTGTTTGGTTGATGGTCCTCTTTAGCATGTGACCAACCTGTTTGTCCACCAGGTGGAGGCGGAGCTTATAAGGCTGAGTTCACCTGAAACTCATCAGACTGAAGAAGTCTCTTGGAGGAGAGACGAAACGTTTCACTAAAGAAGAACCATCCAGAGGACCTACTGATTTTTTCCTTTTTGATTTCTGTGCGGAGTTTGCGTATTCTCCATGTGCTCGTGTGGGTTTTCTCCAGGAACTCCAAGTTCCCTCAAAAACATGAACAACAGGTCGCCTTCAGGCCCAGGCTGCCCTTGAAAAACAGATCTGAGATCTCAATGGTAAAGTTTTTTTCCTTTGAGATGTTAAGTAGAATGCAATTACAAGAACACTTATACTGGACCTAAACACAAATTATTAATGTTTTTTATTTCTTTATTTGTAACGTTTTTCTATTAAAACTGAATTTTATGAAGTTATACCTTTAAAAACAACTGAACTGAAGTGATGTGATATGAAACATATCACCATGATAACGAGGCAGAGTTTCTGTAGACTGGAGCGTCTCATTTCACCAGTGGTGGGCAGCACTGATTTAAAAATTAGTTCCACTAGCCCTAAAACACTAACTCAAATATTTAAGTCCCCTAATTCTAAAGCACTAAAATAACCCAGTCAACCCATGAACATTCTTCACCAGACAACATGAGTCACATGTTGCTCTCTTGACTTCTCATTGACAGTCATCAGCTGTGTTTCAGTTCAGATATTATCAATGTGTCACCTGGTGGATCAGAGACACACATGAACAAAATGTGTGACAGTTTTCACCCTCAGCTGTTAACATTAACACTGATTAATAACACTTGTAATAACACTCAGTTAGTGCTTCTAAATTTAGCAAGTGCTAATCCACTAATAAACTTTAAAATAAGCAAAAGCCCTAAAGCACTAATCAGGAAATTAGTTCCCCTATTAGTGCTTTAGGGGAACTGTGCCCACCACTGCATCTCACAGCTGTTCATGCAGCTGACTAGGGCTGCCACAAACGATTATTTTTATAATTGATTAATCACCGATTATTTATTCGATTAGTCGCCTAATCGGATCATACGTTAATTGAATATAAAACATAGAGCTTATCACGTCAGAATGCAGCTGCTATTATATAACCATGGTTAGAGTTTAGCTATATGCTAACTAAAAATAATWGCTGTGGAAGGTAAGTTCTGCTCTGCAGATATTACACAGGTTTCTCTTTCATTTTCTTAAAATGATCCCACACTTTGAGCTCTGTTGTCAGGTAGCCATGATACCAGAGCCTGTCTGTATAATGTCTTGTGACGTCCACGGCCTACCCCAGTTACCACTACTGTGCATGTGTGTCAACGACAGAAAGGCAGACGTGGCAGTGGAAGGTGTCAAAGCAGTTTGGAGAGAAAAACAAAGTAAAGAACAAAAAAAAAAGAAAATGATTAATCGATTATTAAATTAGTCATCGATTATTTTAATAATTGATTAGTCGTCGACTAATCGTGGCAGCCCTACAGCTGACACGAGGGTTCTAGTGCCCACACAGACTGTAGCTAACATGAGCCGCGGTCTGCATCGACTGCAATCCATGAACTGAGACACAAACATTTATCTGGTAATTTCAGAGTGYTTCACTAAAATCTGTGCAGTGGTTCAGAAGATATTCTCATATTTTCAGACAGACGAGCGGACACACACTGAGACAAAGGAAATTACATGACGGCCAATCGCTCGTTTGCTAAACGTTCATTGTGATCACAAATAAAAACCAGGCGACTTACCGGCCTGCAAAGGACTGTGGCGAAGAGCAGAACAAAAACAATCGCCACTTTCATTGTGTCACAGTTTGGTGCCCGGAGCTGCAAACCAAACCAGAAACAATCCAGGTTAAAGTCGCACAACAAAGCGTCATTGTTTAACCAAATAAAACAATAAAACACAATCCTGATGCTCGGAGTTCCTCCACCACCAAAATACATGCCTGAAGGCCATAACTTCACAGGAAACACAATGGCATGTCAAACACAACACAAACTTGTTCGCTTCGACCCAGATTCCTTCCTATAAATGGACGCTGCATGGTCACATGACCCTTAACGAGCCTCGGTMTGTCACAGGAAGTCATTAAGGCTTTAATTAGAGACCTGACAGGGCCGTTAWGAGAAGTGGATTCGAAATACTTGAACATTTTCTCTGAGGAGCGGTTTCTTAAACTACAAGACGAGATGTTTGGAGCTCCAAGAAATCTAAGAAAATAGTTGGAGTGAGTTCGGTAAAACAAAGATGAAAGGAGCTTGTGGACATTTTACAAGCGTTCTGAGCCCTTACATTACAGAAACAAGAATATAAAGTGCATTTTTAGGACACATCAGAACTTAAACCTGCTATATTTCTGTTCTCTGAACGCTCAGACAAGATTTTTTTTATGGCTGCTGGAGTTAAAGTCTTAATGACGGACTTTTCGTACGGTGTGTAATTCTCGGAGCTATAACTGGAAAGCCACACCACAGCCAAAACATGGGACACAACGCCCAGAAGGCTGAACGGGGAAGTATTTTTGGACTGCTGTCTTTGAGTGTTTGACCTTCAGACTGAGGACATTTGTCTTGTAGAAAAGTTTAAGAATAAAGGTTTGGTTAAATCAGTAATTTGGACCTGAACATCTTATGGATCAACTTTGTCACCTCCTCTGGTTGAATTAATCTGGCCTCCAGTTCTAACGTAAAGAACTTTGTTGTTATTTTGGATCAGGTTCTGTCTTTTAACCCCACATTAAAATATTACCAGGACTGCCTTCTTCCAGCTCTACACGGTTTTGTAAGTATTTCCATCACTAACGTGTTTTATTTGTCTCGCTTCCAGAGTAAAATACACCTGGATCAGTCCTTCTGTGTTTGCCTGTGTCTCTTTCCTGTCCCCCCAATCCCAGCTGGTCCTGAGCCTGGTTCTGGTTCTGGTTCTGGTTCT